AGGAGGGGCTAGAAAATGAATTGGTTCCCTTAAAATAAGATGGTTAATGTAAATTATAGCAGAAAATATATTACATTTGACTCAAACACAAAAGAAAGCAAATTGATTGTTTAGAACTTCAACTCCTAAAATCTAAAAGAACAAAATGTATGATCTGATTAAAACATCATGCTAAGCTATAATTTTATTACATATGATTTTTTGAATAAATCACAAAAACCAAATTCACACAACACACTAAGCACTAAACAACGGCTTACCAACCACAGTATAGTGGCTGGGTTTCTCTAACATACCATGCTAAAACCAAATAATCATTATAGCTTAGTGCAGTGTGTGACTAGTTTCTCTGAATGCTTACTTACTTTCCCTCCATTTTGATAGGGCCACAGCAGAAGTACCTCCTAGGGACAACAGGTAGTTCTCGTTTATCAACTGCCTCATTCAGCAACCACTTGCAGTTACAACAGTGATGAAAAAGTAACTTTGCGGACATTTTCTTTTTAAAAGAAATTAAGTCTATCCTTCTGAAGGAGACTAATTGCATACATCATTATTTATATTACACTAAAAGCACATCAAAATCTGTATATATGTATTTTAACTTCTTTTGAAAGAGCTGACATAAAGTTTTACAGTATTCTTAAACCCAGTGAATTGGCTAATGGATGAGGAATAAAAGACAGCATTTCTCTCAACCCTAGCAAAGCGGCTAGTGATTATATAACTGGGTCTGTGTAGTGTTTGTGACAATACAGTTGTACTCTAGAGACTACAGATTTGGAATTTCCTAAGTCTTGTATTGAGATAATAACAAGATCTGACATTGCTTAGCTTTCTCAGTATCAGGTAAGGTTAGTGAATTGTGGCTATCTGGTCACTATAGGTAATGAGAAACTGACTGACTTCCACGTTTGAGACAAATCACCATGGAGAAACAAACAAAAAAGGCAGGTCTATGGTCTCTTATCCAAATCTGAACAGAAAAACTGAGAGAATGCTTCTTCCCATCATGCTAACCATGGCATGAATATGCCTCACTAGCTGCATTTTCATGAGGTCATCTTCCATTCATACCCAGGTTCAACTCAACTACAGTTGGCCCCTTGAGGCTGATGTGGGCAGCCAAAAACACATCTTTTTGATCCTTAGACATTTTCTTCAAGGTCACTCATTCTGGCAGCAAGAGTGGCCAAATCTTTGAAACCAAGCTGCCTCAACTTCTGCTTTCCATGGTATATGTGGCAACAAATTGCCAGGCTGCCAAGACAGAGTTATGATGAGAGAAAAGGAAGCACAGCAGCTATTTAGTCACTTGACATTTTTCTTGGCAGTCTGGATTTAGGATGGCAATTAAGCAGAAGGGGAAATTTTTTCCTTACCATGTTAGGATGGCAATACAAACAGCTGTATTTTTTTTCCTGCCATATCTGCAATAGTGCCTAGTGGATTTTGTGATCAAAGATCTGACAGTGAATGGGTTCCTTGATATCAGGATTGTGAGTTTCCCACCTCCCAATCCACACTGTTCCATCCTATCAACCTGTCAGTCAATTAATTTGTTAATTTGTGAATATAAGTTTACAGGAAGACTAACAATGCCAATTTTATTTATTTGATTTATATAGATGTCCATCTAACAAGTCACTCTGAGTGGCTTGCAAGATTGAAATACAAAAGCCCACCAGACATAACTCTTAATGACCATGGATTAACAATAACCTCCCTCTCCATCAATAATAACTCATTTACCCACCTGGCCCAAATGCTTGAGGAAAACAGGCAGTTTTTCCATACCTTGAAGTCATAAGAGGGTCATGAGATGAAATAGGAGGGTAGATGTGGAAAGCAAACAATCAGGTGATCATGTGATGACTTTGGTTGCATTGCTGCAACCAAAATTCCAATCCCAATTGTGAACATAAATTGAAGACTACATGTAGTGATTAACAGTCACCTCTCCCTGAACACTGCTAAGGCTCAGAGTCTTGTAAGAAAAGAGCGGAACGAAGAGTGATGCATCATAGGGCATCATAAGCAATTTCGTCTCCCGCCCCCCCCCAGGATATTCCACTTCCCTTAAGGAGAACAGCTGGTAGTTGGGGAATCCCTCAATCTTGTTCCCTCAGTTGTCTCATATTTAGTCTCTGAGGGCAGCACCAATCACTGGCCCCACAGCTGAAGCAGAATAGGGTTTAGCAATGAGGTAACACAAAGTACACCAGCAATTTTTTGTTCTACCTCATGAAATAGAGGAAAACAATGTCAGGAGGAAGGCCCCTAAAAGGATTTAAAGCAAACTCAAGAATCTTTCCATATAAGATGAAGATTTTTAACTAAATAAGTAGAGTACTGAACTTGCCAGTAATTCCAAGTACTGAATTGAATTTCAAGAATGTTATTAAAAAAACTGCTGACTCAGATAAAATTACACTATATCTGAAAATGTAATACCTGCTATAACAAGTTCATTTAAAGTCATTAGTCAATAAAAGAGCTGGCACAAATGGATCTGTCTGCTGTTGGCAAGGCTGAGATAAATTTGATTCCTTCAAGAATAGAAAATGTAATTGGAAAAATATCTCAATCATTGCAGCATTCCTATTATAAAGACAAGGGCTATTGAAGTTATCAATTTAGTGCAAATTTCATGTCAAGTGCACCAAATGGCCTGAGAAAAAAGCAGAGACTAAAATAAGGAGTGGCTTTAACTGTCTATGAAAGCCTCCTGGTTTTAACTTGTATAAATTTAAATTGCATTAGAAATTTGCTATATCCATTATCTGTCCTCTACTACAGCATATTACTTTCACCATGTAACATTCTTTTATAAAAAGATAGTAAAGATTAAAAATGTAAACTAATTTTAAAACTTTTGTGTTGAAGCAATCATTTAAATCTGCTTCTCACTTGTATGTTTCAAAAGAACACTTTATTATTACTTCATTAGGATTAATATGGAGTTGGCAGCTATTATATATCCAAATAATTCATTTTCAACTTTAAGATTGCATACAATCCATCTTTGGTGGCTGGGGAGCACACTTCAATGGAGATGTAATGTGCAATTTGAGGGTCACAGTTCCAGGTCAAAAAACAGGTGGCAGCTATGGCCAAGGTCTTTGCACAACTTTATCTTTTATATCAGTTGCACCTGCTCCTGGACTGAGACAAGGTGTGCCTGCCATCACATCTTAATCATTTCCCAGTTGGATTACTGTGACACACTGTACATGAGGGTGCCTTTGAAGATAATCCAGAAATGCAGCAGTATGGCCAATTAAGGGCACAACTTGTATACCACTATACTGCACTCTGCATTTATTCCCAATAGGCTTTCCAGGTGTAATTCAAGGTGCTGCTTATCACCTATAAAGCTACACATGACAGAAACTGGGGTATTTGTGGGAGTCTCTCTGCTTATTCTAATAGTGTAGCAACGCTGCAGGAGTCCCTTCCCTTCATTTGGTAAGATCCAGGAAGTATGTCTTTTTTATTTGCCTGTTTACTCAAGGCGGCAAATGTATACAACAAATCTTCCTCTTATTTTCCCCACAACAACCACTATGTGAAGTGGGTTGGGCTGACAATAACTGGTCACCTAGAGGGCTTTCACAGCTAAGACAGGGCTAATAGACTCTTGCATTCTAGCCAGGTGCCTTAACCACTAGACACTGCCTGGATTTTAGAATATCCTCCCCTTTAACCAATATATATTGGCCTTCAGAAAAACAATAAAAATGTCTTTTTTCTTGGGCACTGAGGCCAAATTGATTAGCATTCTCACCTGGAAGGATATAAGGTAAATTTGATGTTCCAGACTTCTTACCAATTTATGTTGCCATTTTTAACTATATGGCTTCTTTGCTGATTATTTCATTGTTATTGATTGTATACTATCCAGAATTGCAATTATACAAGTTGGTCAGCTATATAAATTCAAATGAATAAATATATGCCATGAACATAAATGTTTCTATCTTATATCTTGATTAATTTCATGCTGTATGAGGAATCAAGAGTGACAATAAGAATGAGAGGATAACTGAGGTCTACCAGGAATAGAAAAAAGAACCTAGTCTGTAATGTGAAATATAATGAATAGGCGCAATACAAATCTAATTAATTAATAGATAAATAAATAAATGAATGAATGAATGAATGGGCGGAATGAGAATCGGCACCAAATTGCCTTTTTTGTAGTATTTTTATTAAAGATTATAACAGTAAAAACTAATAGCCTAAAACAACAAAATAGTTTCAAAAAGAAAAATAATACATAACTCCTCTTCATCACACCCACAGCAAGCAACAATTTTAGTAACTTTCTCAAATAATTCATCTCTCAAAATGAAGTGATCTTTATATCCCATCTTAAATCCATAAAACTTCATTTCAAAAATACATTTAATGAACGGCAAAACTCATCTTTAACTCATCTTCATAATGGGTTTTTAAAAATTACCCCTGAAAGTGTAACACGAGCCATTCAGAACAAAATCCTTTATGTTCAATAGAGCTGAATTCCTAGTACCTGCCCTGATTTGATTCTAGTAAACCCCATTTAATTCTATAGCATGTGTTTCTGAAACCGTAAATTCAGATTATACTGCAGTTCAAGTCCTGGTCTCCTAATATTTTTTTGCTTTCAGAGTGCAAATGTTTAAAGCGATACATTTTCATAACCTATTAAATGTTTAGTAGGCTATTTTATACTTTATAAATGTTAGTATTGATTGCTCGTTGTCTTACGTTACTTAGAACCGAAGCGATTACATATCAACCAAATTTGTAGATCAGAATGAAAGATCAGAACACGTTGCTAGCTTGAGATACAATGAGATACAATTTCTCCTTCCTTCGCCTTCTTACAAATACATCATTTTCTTATTCCTTTTTCCAAACCGCTGTTGCGCTAACGGATTACATACACTACGCCACCCATCCACCCGGGATGAAAGACACCGGAAGTGTGGCGACTTTAGGCAAAGTAAAGCAAAGTGAGTCAAAGGAAGAGTGGCCACCCCAAAAAAACCCTGCACTCGGAAGTAGCACAATCATGAAAAGACCATAGAGCTGAAACAGAAAGGAAGTTCAAGAGCACGCGTCTGGAGGGAGGGAAAAATGTCCGCTTCCCTGCTAAGGAAAGGACTGGAACTACTGGAGTCGGCGGGAGGTAACCCAGGGCGGCAGGGTGGTCAAAAGAGAAAAAGGGAGAATTCTTTCGGCTAAATAAATCCCTCTTGTTTCTCTTGTTTCTCTGTCCGATAAATAGTGTCCGGCTCCTCCTCTCAAAGATCAGGGACCGCCGCCCGACCCAATAATCGGTTGAAAAAAAAGAAAAACAAGAGTGCAAGGTCCAAAAGAGACAAGGCCACAATCAAAGGAAGAATCATCAAATCTGCATTAGGTGAGTAGGGGGAAGATGGAGAATGAAGATCAAGTGGACGACCCTCATCTAATTTATTGGTTGACTCAGCCTTCCGAGGTCGGTCAAAATGAGGGCCCAGATTGTTGTGGGGCGATATGCTGACTCTGTAAACCGCTTAGAGAGGGCTGTAAAGCGGTATATTTTATTTTATTTATTTTATTTATTTGTCAATTGTTTACGAGATAAGTAAAAGTGTATACATAATTATGAATACATGAAATGAGTACATATAAGAAAAATAAAAGAAAAATAAAAGAAACAATAGGACAGGGACGGTAGGCACGTTGGTGCGCTTATGCACGCCCCCTACAGACCTCTTAGGAAAGGGGTGAGGTCAATAGTAGACAGTCTAAGGTTAAAGTTTTTGGGGTTTGGGGAAGAAACTACAGAGTCGGGTAGAGTATTCCAGACATTGACCACTCTGTTGCTAAAGTCGTATTTCCTGCAGTCAAGCTTGGTGCGGTTAACCTTGAGTTTGTATCTGTTGTGTGTTCTTGTGTTGTTATGGTTGAAGCTGAAGTATTCATTGACAGGTAGGACATTGCAATGTATGATTTTATATACCATGCTTAAATCAGACCGAAGACGGCGTAATTCAAGGTTTTCTAGTTCTAGAATTTCAAGTCTGGTGGCATAAGGTATTCTACAACGAGTAGAGGAGTGGAGAACTCTTCTTGTGAAATATTTCTGGACTTTCTCAATTGTGCTAATATCAGATACATAATGTGGGTTCCAGACTGATGAGCTGTATTCGAGTATTGGTCTAGCAAATGTTTTGTATGCTCTAGTTAGTAGTGTGATATTACCAGAGAAAAAGCTACGTAAGATTAGGTTAACAACTCTTAATGCCTTTTTGGCTATGTAGTTGCAGTGGGCACTAGCACTTAGATCATTAGAGGTGAGTATTCCAAGGTCCTTTACAGAGCTTGGATCATCAACAAGATCTTGACTATTCAGCTTGTATTTTATTTTTGGATTTTTTTTGCCAATATGTAAGACAGAGCATTTATTTGTTGAGATTTGAAGTTGCCATTTGTTTGACCATTCTGATACACAGTCAAGATCTTCTTGAAGGGTAGCAGTATTGTCTGTGATATTGAACAGCTTTACATCATCAGCGAAAAGAACGCAGTTGCTCTTAATATGATCACAGAGGTCATTTATGTAGAGTATGAAGAGAGTTGGTCCTAGAACACTGCCTTGGGGGACACCACTATTGACAGGTACAGAATTTGATAGGACACTCCCAATTTTGACCATTTGTTGTCTGTTTGACAGGAATGCTTCTATCCAGTTATGCAGTTGTCCAGAGATACCATAGGATTTTATTTTTAGTAATAGTTTGTCATGTACCACTGAATCAAAGGCTTTACAGAAGTCTATGTAGATTGCATCTATTGTTTTGCCCTGATCAAGTTGTGTAGTCCATATGTTTTTGCAGTGTAAGAGTTGCAGATTACAGGATAGTTTTTTTCTGAAACCAAATTGTTTATTGGAGAGTAGGTTGTTTGTCTCTAAGTGGAGGATGATGGATTGGTTAATAATTGATTCCATGACTTTACAGGTGACGCAGCATAAGGAGATTGGTCTGTAATTTTCAACTAGGCAAGGGTCTCTCTTTTTGAAGATGGGGATGACTGTGGCTTGTGACCATAGGTTAGGCAAGGAACTGGTCCTGAAAGATTTTTCAAAGATTATGCTTAGAGGTTTGGCTATGGCAGTGGATAACTTTTTTAAGAGATAGGCACATATTCCATCCGGTCCAATAGATAGGGATGGTTTTAGATTGCGTAGTGCTTTTTCAACATTGTCTTCTGTAAAATCGATATGTATTAGATCACTGTAGTTATCTGTGGTTCGGCTAGGAAATGCTGGGCATGATCCATTGCTGTTTACAAATACTGAGCCAAAAAATGTGTTAAAGATGTTGGCTTTAATGGTGTCGTCGTTGCAGTCTTTACCATTAGGTCCTATCAGGGGTGGGATGGACCTTGAATCTTTTAGTTTGTTGTTTACAAAATTGTAAAAAGCATTGGTGGAATTGGTGCTTAGAAGGTTTTCCTCTTGTTTAATATGATAATTGGTGCATTCGGTCTTTATTTGGTGGCATAAATTTTTGTATCGGCTTTTGAAATTGGCAACGTGACCAGATTTGTTTTTCCGCCAGAGTGATCTCTTTTTGGATTGAAGTTTCCTTATTGTTATGGGCAATCTGTTTTTTTGTTTTGTTTTGGGAGTAGTTGTTGGTACATATAGTTTGATGACTCTTTTGACTTCAATTAAAAATATGTTGTAATGGTCTTCAACAGTATTGCATCCAGTGAATAGAGATTGCCAATCAAGGGATGAGAGATCGTTGTTTATAAGATCATAGTTGCCTTTTTTGAAATTATAATTGGGGATCACATCATTGTGGTGGTTTTTGTGTGGACGTATGTTGAGACAAAAGTCAATCATATTGTGGTCACTGCTGGAAAAGGGTTCTTTAGTTTGTATTCCGTAAATTAAATTCAAACTATTGCAGAAGATGAGATCGAGGCAGTTGTTTAGTCTAGTGTTGTTGGATACTAGCTTTTCCAGTCCCAGATTTGTAACAGCATTGTAAAAGGTTGAATGTATGGTTTCAGTTGTACATTCATTTAGGGTCCAGTCAATATGAGGCAGATTGAAATCACCAAGAAAGATAAAAGGGTATGGGCAGGATGCTGCCCATGTTAGTAGTGTATTTAGCTTGTTTACATGTTCAATAAAGTAATATAATATAAGTAATATAATATAATATAAGTAAGTGCTATTGCTATTCGGTATCATGCTTTGGTTACGCCTAACTAGTGCAAATTTTTGAGCTGTACTTTTGCAGTTAAACAATAAATGCATAACATTGCGTGGAAGTTTCCATTCTATATTTAAGCAAAAAAGAAACCTCTTTATTCAGCTGATGTCAATTTAAAATCTTTGTGTACAATGTTATGCAGAGAGACATATGACTGACATGCATGAGAGTTGTAGCATAACATTTTTATTTTTTCTTATTAATGTAACTATATTTTTACCTACTTTATGTTACCTCCTTTCATATCCCATTCAAGATAACTTGTAATTTCAAGCAATATACATGCTAAGAAAGTGACAATATATGCTTCTTCCCAAGTTATTAAAAATAAATAATAAAATCATGTATTATTGTGTTGAAGAAAACAAGTGTTCTAAAGGCAGAGTCCTTGCATGTCATAGCTTGATAGTGGCGATGATATTTTCATCCTATCTTTTTATAATGTATATGTACTCAAAATTGAGGTGGTGTGGTCTGTGCCCAAGCTGAAACTTGTATGTGTTATATATTTTGGTCAAGGCACAGAACAAAATAGATCTATTCCAGGAGGGAGTAACTGAATGTGGTGTAGATAAAAGCAAGGGAGTTGAGAATGAGGAAGTGGCAGGAACAGTGAAGGTGCTTCCCTCTCTTCAGTATCCACCAGTGTGATATATTCTATACATCTGCCCATGCTCAAATCTTTGCATTTTATTTCTTCTTCCTTTCAGCAATACCAGTGCCCAAGTGTGAGATATAGTACCAAACTTCCTGCTCTCTGAACATCCAGTTTCTTCTCTTCCTGCTATTCCCTGAGCAGTTTGCTGGTGTTCTCATGTTTATATCCTATCACTCCATTTGCTGATTCAATTATTTTCAGCTCTCCCATCAATGTACCATAATAGGTTTGACCATGCTCCAAAGCTCATTCTTTATTCATTTAGTGCAACAAGAAAACCCCAAAGTTTGGCCTACATTCCCATATAAGCTGAAAGCATATTTTGGAGTAGTTACCCACAACTTGGAGATCATGTTTTTGATTATAGCTGTCATGTTCCTCAGCCAACAGAGCTATATTTTGCGATTTATATTTGAGTTTACTTATAGACAACCAGGTTGCAGACTATTGCATACAAAACTCCTTGAAATCTTATGCAGTACACAGGTTTTCCCAATAACTAAAGACAATAATAAAATGCATTGATGAGTATAAAACCTTCCACTGATTTTGACATGTGAACAAACTCCCTTAGGAAAAAAGGTTTTGTTTTTTGGTTTTGTTTTATCTTATTTACTGCATATGAAAATTCACATATACCTTGATGCAATGTGAAACCTCCAAAATAGTGGCTGCAGGAAATCAAACTAAAACATGAGGCAAGTGGGATGAATCAGGCTTATAATTGCACTCCCTAAAGACAAATATGAATATATTTCCTCTTGAATTTTATCTACATGCTTTCTTATTGTATTGCTTTTTCCAGAGGAATATCAGAAACATCAAGCAGCTGACCACTTTAAGAAGAACATGCAGTATATGATGGGTACTCATTTTGTGGCAGACAGTACAATTACTGAAAAGGTCAGTTTGTTTACTTGTCACTTGTTTATTTGAGCAGAGATGCTTTTAGAATTTTTTTTTAAAAAGACAATTCTGTTTACACAATTGATAGCTTTTTGAGAAGGGACCTTGTTTCTCAGTATAAACATGTTTCTCATGTCTATTTCCAATTTTTTCTAATTTACTTGCCAAATATTTTAGATCTTGAGTTTTCAAATTGAATTGTTTGAAATTAGCACTGTGTGATTCAAAGCACAAATTGTAATTCATAGCCTATATGGGCATAGCCTTAGAGCATCTGTTAGGAATACCTTAAAGTTAAGTTCTCCCAGGATCATGAATCATATCTGGAGAAATACCTCTGAATACAGATAAAAAGCTGTTTTCTAATGCTCCAACAAATACAATCCTTGAGTGGTGCTTAGGACTGCATACAAGGACCTGTATCTATCATCAATGTAATAAAATACTCTATTAAATTTGGTTAAACCTGGAAGGTTTATTATACTACTGATTAATGATTATATATATATATATTAAAAGGTATTGAGGTACTATTTTTCCTTTACATTCTTTCTGTAGATTTTAACCCAAAATAGAGGGAGGAAAGCTAAAGACCTCCCTGTAGAAAAAGTGAAGAAGAAGCATCCAGAAGGAACGGTCTTCACTGAAGAAGACTTCCAGAGATTTGAGAGAGAGTATTTTGGAAGAGCTGGAACAATCTGACAAAAATAATTTGTTAATGATGCTAAAAATATCAGCATCAGTGAGCAAATGCTTGCCAATATTATTGTGGTTGGGAAGTACGTCTATTATAAGACTACAGTATTTCTACATACGATCTGCTCAACTGTTGCACTTCATATGGAAAGACGGTTTGTGCCCAGAGTGGAGAATCCAGATCTTTGATGCTGAGTTTTGACATATGACTCTCTTAAGATTATCTTTTGACTGTTTGCTAGAAAAAATACCTACCTTGAACCACACAAAACAGTCTTTTCCCACATTTGTTAGGAGTAAATTAAGTTAAATAATTTCTATACATATGGAAGAGGGAAATTGGATTTCATACTGCAATATCAGAGCTGAAAGGATGTCCTTTATTGTTAAACAGTGGTTGGAAAATTCATACTGATGCAATATTTATAGTGGTAAAATTATGCATTTCATTATAACTATGTAGTTACCACATAAGAACAGTAATTTGTGCATTTTGATAAAAATCATGCAAACCCACTGAAACATGTTTTTTTTTTTTCATCCCTTACCCATTAGCAGCATTTAGCTACTTATAATATGTATCACCCATTGTAGTTTTTTCACTAGTAGGATGTGGTTATCAGTTATTTATTTGCATCACACTTGGACTAGATGACCTACAAGGTTCCTTCCAACTTTGATTATCTGTTACCTTTAATATTTTTTACAAATAATTCAAGATGGTGAACATATCCATCACACCTTCCTCCTTCTATTTGCCCCATAACAAAAATTGTGATGTAGTCCAGGCTGAGAGTGACCAGCCCAAAGTCATAACTCAGAATAGTCATGTTTGAAAATACTTCTGCCTGAAAGTGCACAATACTTCTGATTTAAATGGAGTTGGCTACAGTGGCATGTGTCTTGCGAAACCCAACCAGTTTAATTTGTAGTTCAGTGTACTGGATGAACCTAGACAAATATATACATTAAGCAGACCACAGTAGTTGACAGGGTTACTGCTAACCACGTTAGTATGTTGAGCAAACATACTAATATTTGAAGTTATAACCCTGAAAAAAGCTGTAAGAATGGTGTCTTCTATTTATTCTTTTCAAGAGTGTAAGGAATAAGCTATTCTACTTTTCAAATCATATAAAGTAAGTTAACCTTACTTATTTTAAAAAAGTATAAAGCTGCCCAATTCAGAGTGATTCTGGGTGGCTGAAATTATTCCATTTTGCAGGAAGGAGCACATGTTCACATTTTACTAGCTGAACATGCATTTCTCTTGTAAAATTAATCAAATTTTACAGGTTTTCCTAATGTACTATCCTAAGATAAATTATTCTATTATGCTATGATACTGTGATTAGTTTGTAGTTGAGCTTGTGCATGAAAGCCACAAGTGATGATTCATAGGAAGTCTTTTCTTCCCCCAACCACTGCCAATACCCTTCCCACACCTTCCCTGCCACCTACCTTCTACACCAGCTCTGCCAGAATCAATTTCAATTCATATTTCAATTTAATTCATGTTTGGAACAAAACAGTCCCAGCCTCAAACATCTGAAAAACAAGCTAGGTAGTGGTTTCTCGGTTGCTATCTAATACGCTATAAAGAAACAGAACTTTATTTGAATATATTAATATTTAACAAATGTTATCTAATTAAGCTTTTTATTTAAATTTTTATAGCTACTTAATTACACAATTAGCTGTTCTCTAGAGTTAGCTTCAGCATTTAGTGATTACAATGTAGTGAAGCTAATTGTTAACGACTTGTAAGAGGAACAGTCTGAATTGTTTGAAAAACAATCTCAAAATTATTGATACTGATCATTTATACATGAAAATTTACAAATACAAAACAATTGCTTAAGTGGTAGACAATTTGTGTTGCTCATAAACTTAAATTTTACTGTGGTTAGAAAGAATGACATTCCACATTTGCTTGGGATCAAAATTACTGGCAAGTTCAGCCTGTGCTTTAAATCAAACTGAATTTCTAAGTTTGATGTTAGAATATTGGATAAGGTTGTACAAAATGTTCTAAACATCCTGAGCATATAAAGCTAATCCTGTTAATCTGCATTTTTTTATATTTTGATCCATTTGCAGGAAAAGAAAGATTTTGTTCCACTTATACCATAGCATGAAAAATTAGTTTTGGAGTACAGAAAAAAAGCAGTAACAGTGATCATGATTGAGACAAGGTAGGGAACAGGTAGAATATACCACACTGGAAGCCTATTCCTTACGGTTGAGACATTTAAAGCTTACAGACTTGCACTTTAGCAGAAACCAAGATGAAGTAAAGCACGTGTTTTAAAAGCTGAATGGGATGTTACACTGGGGGCTTGTTCTATATTTCCAAGATACCATTAAGTCATTTGGGCTAATCTTTTCATAATGACAGTAACAAAGATGGGACAGGTGCTGGAAGATTAAGAATGGGCCACCATGTACTCCATACTGGAATTACTCTGGGGGAAAATGGGGCTAAGTACATACTTGTTCTATTTGTCCTGTATACATTGTGGAGTGCGGATTATTGCAGCCAAAACCTGAAACTACATTTTGGGTTTTCTCCTGGCATGTATTTTTTACTTACAAAATGTATATAACCACCCCATCTCATCAACTCTGGGTGGCACACAATAGTTGGGACACTGCAACAGATAAAAGCATAAAAATCCATATTGTTAAAAAAAAACTCTAGGTGAGAGTAATGGAACCATGTAAGTATATTGTTCTTCCAGTCTACTGATGACATAACCAGGTCTTTCAAAATATTAAGGACCATTACATTAATACCCCAAAAGGAATCGCCTCTTAAATCTAAAAACTATGCCTATTGCTACTGAATGACTATTTAGAATTGGCTAAGACTGAAAACAGTCCTACAAGAATTTACCAAACCCAATGTAAATTCTTACTGAAAACAATTTTGGATATAGAATACCCAAAACAAGCAAGAGGCATTTTCTTGATGTAATTTTTGATGTTAGCTTAAATAAGTTTAAAATTCTAGTTTAGATTTTGATGAGAACTTAAGCAAGGAACCTCTTAGGATAGTGTATTCAATAAATACCTGATTGCTTCTAATTTTTCAAGTAAGCAGCAGGTTCATGTCCAATGTTTTCTTGAGAAGTGGTCCAGGCCAAAATTGTATATGTGAGCTTTAATAACTCAAAAACTCACTAATGTAAAACTTGCACCTCTTGAAAATTCAATTAGTCATTAACAGGATTGTGCCAATATTATGGATGCTATTGTTACACGGAACATAGCTGCTGGACATGCTCGTTGACTCAAATTATGCTAGCCAACAAATGCGTCACAAGCAAAATGTTTGAACTATCTATTTTTTTTCCCTAAGGGTCTTTCTACCTTGGACTTGTGAGACTGTTTCTACTTAAGCATAGATGTTCATCTACCTTTCCAGTTCAAGTGCTGTTTTGGTCATGGGCACACCAAAGAACCTTACTATGATTTATTAACAAAAAATGCAATTATCCATATTGTTTATACTGGTCTTGAAAGTTTTGAAGCAATTAAGGTAACATGAGGGATGTTGGTAGAGACATAAATTGAGAGCATGATGTGGTATTAGTGTAAGTTCCATTTAAAGAAATAGTGTTGACAAGAAAGCTAAACATTTGGTAGTGGCTGATCAACCAAGTCCAAAGTTAACAAAAAGTATGAAGGCACAGATTCAAGTAGAATGGTTTTAAGATTGAAAAAAAATGTAAAATATTTAATTTGACAAATATGAACTATGTTGTTCCAAAATTGTAATACATGGAATTTAAAAAGGCATCTAAACTGCAATTGCTGTCTTTTTGCCATTCATTTTAATGGGTTTTTTAACTGAAGGACCCAAATAAGTTTCAAACAAAACTTCACTGAATATACATATATCCAAATTAGAAAATAATTTATTAAGCATTAATAGTTGTTTGCAGTAAGCAATATACATGCATGTAACTCCTACTCCACTACTCTATTCTGGGGCTTTAACCTTTTTACCCTTAGCTTTGCGGACTTCTTCAATCAGATCTTTTAAATATTTAATTTCTTTGCTCAGGGAATCAACTTTAGCTGTCAGGGCTTCATTTTTTTGCTCTAATTCTCTACACTCTCCTGATATAGCTTCTTGCTCTGCCCTTTTCTTCTGTCTATATCGTGTGGCAGCTGTCTTATTCTGCTCCATCTTCTTCCGTTTCTTATCTATTCTTTCTTCTTTAATCTTTATGATTCCTGGAGGGCGATCGTAAGGCTTGGGCCTCACAGAAACATCAAGCTGGGTTGTAACTGATTGGTTATCACCGAGGGAACTAGAAGTGGGAGGACTTTGTTGAGGTGACTCTAGGTAAGACTCTGGGCTCATACATATTCCACTATCATTGTCAGAATGTGCTTCATCCTCTTTTTCACTCTTGGGAAACACTAAAGTAGCAGGGGGTTCTGTTTTCTTGTCTCCTTCAAGAATATCTACTTCACTACCTAGCTCTAAACTGAATGAATGGTCAACAGTAGAAATCAATGGCCCTTGGGGTACTGGAAATGGCAACAATGTAGTCAATGGGGCCACCTGGTCTGCTTCAGGAGACCTGGGGGATTGGTTAATTGGTTCTGGCAATAATAAACTTTCTTTGCTGGGAATTTCTTCAATGGGCGGGTCAAGAAGGTCACACGTGTCTTCCAACGTGGCCATGAGCTCATCTGGGGAGATGGTGGCTTCCAGATCAATACCTAACAGCGCATCAAAGTCAAACTCCTTTAGGTCCATCTTCTCCACCATCCACTCCGTGCCAGAAAAGGCATCCTCTGTAAAACAAACAAACAAAGCTATTCCAAAGATGATCTCAATAAATACCCAAAAAAATTCTCCCTCTGCTTTAGATCCATTAAACTATATACATTTAAATAGATGAATCAAAAACCTCAAAAGGTTACCCAATTGGGAGAATATAATTTATCTTACTCTGGTTGCAGTCTGTGGCATTCCAACTGCCCACCATATCATCCAGCCAATCGGAGGAGCCCACTTTAGCCTTAGCGCTGGAGAACCCATGTGAACTGAAGTTCTTGGCCACCTCCAAGTAGTCATCCAAGAGCCCCAGACCTTCATCAGCCACCAAACACTGCTGGCTGAATGGGGACCGAAAGTCCCCCAACAACATCTCTGTGTTTGAGAAGCTCATTTTGGTCACGTTTTAGTACTTTGTTGTCAATTTGTCTAGACAAATAGATGGTGTCTTTGTAGATTACAGCAAAGCTGCTGTGTAATGATTTGAAAAACCTGGAATAAACAAGATAACAATTATTAAAAAAGCTTTTCGATTTGAATTTCTAGTTAAAAATCACATAGGACAAATTGTGCATGGTAATACTGCAGCAATGATTCCTAAAGTTCCAGGTTTTTTCCCCCCCTCTAGATTTTATCTGAAGTCTGTCTTTGACACCAATTAGAACTACAGTACAACAGCGCCAACTAGAATTTGTTCAGCAAGTCAGTCCTCTATTTCCTCCTAACTACACAGCTTCAACTCAATCTCCACCCATCTTGGTCTGAATCATGAATTCATTAGTGACAACAGCTGCAGCCATTTCGTGATCTGCTTGCTGTGCATGTCTATAACCTATAAATAGGCCGCCATTTTGTATCCTGCCACGTTTCCATTTAGGTCATTGAGAATCTTAATGATTGTTAAGAAGTAACAGACCACATAATACCACATTTGTTTATACCCACTTATTTAAAAATTGGCAGATTCCACAAAAAGTTTGTTTTGAAATTACAGATAATTCATTACATCTTAACCTTAGACAATTCAAACCTGCATTCCACCCAAGGCCACTAGTTATTTCAGCAAAATGTTTTTAGAAAGACAGTCCTGTCAGTATATCTATAAAGGTTTTAATTCGTCGTATTTCTGTTGTGAAAAACTCTAGATTACTCTCTCTTCCAGTATGGCAATTTTAACTTAATTGTTAGAAGTTCTATTTTTGTCCAGAAAAAAATAGTATACCAATTGCTTAAATCTCAGGGGATTTTCC